GTTTCAGAGCCCTCAGATTCAGTGTCGGGGTTGTGGTGGAAATATTATAGACACTATTGGGGTCTAAATTACTTGAACCAAGAACAGTCCGATGGGATCTAAGTGCAGGATCACGCCACAACGAGTCGGGAAGCTCGTGCGGGTTGACCCCAAGCTCTGGAGCCTCAGCGTGAGGAACGATAAAAGGCAAAGTCTGCGGCGCGTACGCGATCGGAGGATCAGCGACCCTAGCCCAGGTGCCAGCGGAGTCAATTCTAATTTCGGGGTAACCGTGCACTTGGGGTCTTAAAGCAAGAGGTCTTCTAGAAACACCGGTTATGGCACGGGCTCTATAAAGTTCTTGATTAAGTTCAATTCGTTCACGGGTTTCCCTTGGGACTAGATTGACAGGCAATGGCGGATTGGACCTAGTTCTTTTAGGCCTACGACGGCGCGTGGAAACCTCACGGCCGTGTTCAGTTGTTGTAAAGTCAGGGAATTCGGGCTCTGCTTCAGCCTCAACCTCAACTTCGACCACTTCGTCCTCCTCAAAAACTTCCTCTTCCTCCTCTTCCTCCACCCACTGCTCCTCTTCAGGCGGTGGATCGTTGGGATCCTCCGGAGCAGTCTCTTCTCGCGCCTCTGCTGGTCGGGAACTGCGGGCAGCGAGCTCCTGTGCAGTTGGCGGCGGATGAGATGGTGGTGGTGGAAAATTATCACCGGGTGGTGGCGTATTAGGAGGTGGTAATGGTGGTAAAGGTGGTTGTTTATGAGCGGGCGGACTAGGGGGAATGTTATTAGGTGGAGGTGGCAAACCTTGAATTCTATCTGCAAAGGTTATGGCACTAGAATCAGGAGCTTTGGGCCTAGCTTTAGCTGGTGGCTTAGCAGGGCTGGCTACTGGAACTGGTGCTACGTCGCGCCCAAAGGCAGCGACCCCTTGAGAATCTGACTTTGGGGCTTGTGGGACTGGATGGACAGAGACAGTAACCTTTGGACGCGGTGGCACTGCTGGCTCAGGTGGCCTTCTCAAAGAAGGTTGCCAATTCGGCGGTGGATGCCCAGGCTCTTTGGGTCCTTGCTGGACCGGAGTCGGATCTGTGCGTCCACTTGCCGCGCCAGCAACGGGTGTTGCGGCAGCAGGCCTTACCGCTTTTGGACGAGGTTGCTGCTGAGGGCCTATATATCTATAATATATATCCCACTCTTCTTGGCGCGGGTGCTCTGCCCCTAAGATGCGTTGATTGATGATCCTTTTTGGGGGTAGTTCACCAGAGTTTATCACTTGTTCGGCGTGTGAAATACCTCTGCGCCTGTCCAAACCGTGGATATGAGCCCACTCTTTGTAGGGGATGAGGATCTGGTAGGCCAAAGCTAAACACTGTGATGTTGGGAACTCCTCAACAAGTCTTGAATGAAGAGCTATCAACCAGCGAGTGCTTTCGTCGGCGTATTCGTAAGAAATCTTTCTTAACCAAAAGCCGCCTACGATATCCCCTCCGGAGTTATGGTAAAGCCAATTTTGGTATGCCTCGAAGTCGTTCCACCAAGCTCGCTTTGCTTCTTGCCACCTAGTTTGAGCACCGCCCCTGCTGGATCGAACCCTTGGTCGATGGGCTGTTGATGAACTAGCGGGGGAATGTCCTACTTGGATAGGATCGGCACCTGGGTCAACAAGATTAGGGCTAGTTGGTGGTGGGACTATTTGATCGGGGCAACTAGTGTTAGCTTCTGTCGCGACACCGGATGTGTCAGCGACCGCAGGTTCAGGCACGGATGCAGATGGTTCGGATGCAACGGATGCTTCTCCTACTGGACCCGCCTCGTCACCTAAACCCAAAAGATCAGCAGTTTCAACCTGTTGTTGGTCTTCTTCAGCTGGATCTGCACAATCTGTTGTGTCAACCTCGCACTCGGCCTGTTCCAGAAGAGTTGAAGAATCTTGTTGAGGATCTACTTCTTCCTCTTTTGCTCGATCAATGTCCGTGAAAGCAGCTTCCGCTGGGTTACCCAAATCAGAAGGTGGTTCCAAAAATGACTGATCTTGAAGTGAAGTGTCAACCCCAGTTTCTTCCGTCGCGACGGGATCGTCAGCGACCTCCTCTGGCAAGCCAATTGCTGAAATTACCGCACTAATGCTCTCGGCCTCGTGGATCTCCTCCTTAACCTCTACCAGTGATCTTTGGGGATCTGCAGAGTCTGTCACAATGGAGTCGAAACCAGAAGGCACGGGCGCTTGTACCTCAGACAGATCCGCCCAGGAGGTAGAGGCCTCGGCTATCGATCCGGCAGGCAACGGAGCTGATTGCTCAACGTCTTCTGCAGCAGATGCGACCGCCTCAGCCCCACCCGCTGGAGTTTCAGTCGCGACGAAATCGTCAGCGACCTCACCGGATCCTTCTGAGGGCATGCAACGATGAACAGTGAAGTGCGAAAACAAAGTTAGGGCCTATGGCAAGTTTTACCGGATTAGGTTCCCCAACAAAAGCCTTACGGCTGATAACCAGTGAAACAGGGGGTCGAACCGGAAACCCAAACGAAAAGGGGAAACCAATCCGGCAACACCTGCATCAAACAAACAACCAAACGCCTTTTCTCGAAGGCGCTTGAGCCACAAACGTCGTAGACGTGTAAATGACCCACCCAGGTTATTGTTAGGATGGAATTACACTCTACTCTAATTTGGCTACCCTACCTATGTAACGCTTCTACATAGGTAGTGCTGTGACTGTACATATCGGGGATATCTACTTTGGGCATGATGGACTCATAGCTAAGGCATACCTCTACTAGACCTACCTGCACATGCTATACATGGTGGGGCTCAGGGGTCGATATATTTCAACTATATATATATATATACATACATATATACTATGCATAAATGGCAAAAGGTAGAAGCATGTATGAAATACCAATTTCATCAAATTTCAACAATATGTGGATGATGGTGGTGAAGTCCTGTGTTTTTCCAGCGCAGAACTGTCATCGTAGCAATTCCGAGTTCAGGACAGTTCTGGAAGCGCCCATGCCGTACCTGTACAAGTGCCAGATCCACAGCCATCTGGGAGGGTGACTGTCAAAGGTTTAGTTGAGCAGTGTTCAAAACCCGCACCGTCATTCCATGAGATGCCTGTTTGGTAAATAGGGATTCCCAGTTCATGGATTATGAAAATTCCCGACATATTGTACTACAAGTATATAATTAACCTCCTGTATGTAATCATCAACCGACAGAGGTCTTGAACACTGCTTGATTGGCCAAAGGGTCTCTGCCTGAAATCCGTTGCTGAGCTGCTGGCCCCAAAAGAACTCATGGATGTAAAATAATATGTAAAGAAATGCAAGGTGAAATTTCCTGGAAAATCATTGCAGGTCAAGAGCCAATGCCCAACAGTGAACAAAGTGGACAAGCTGCGGGGATGCTCACTTTCAGTCTTTCACGTCTTTCCCAATGATTTTGGTTAGGATTGTTTTACCCCAAAATATTGGGCTACTGAGTTTTCCAGCCCCCTGATCCTCTTCCAGCTCTCCGCACCTTCCTTCTGCCATGTTCTGCAACTCTTGCCTCGCAACCTGCGACGGGTGGATCATCTGGTCTACTTGGATACCGTGTTCAAACTGGAAAAATGCTACATGGATCATTGATTCCTATGGTATCAATCAACTTGCCCATGTCAGAATCTAATTCAGGGAACAATCAAGGTGGTGGGAGTCCATCAAATTCGCAACCATCGACTAGATGGATTGCCAAGCCAAACATGACAATAATTCTATTTGGTCCTTGAGGGAAGAAAAACCATTTCTCGGAGACAGGATATTTGTAGGGTTCCAGGCGAGCTTGAAGAGAGACATCAAATGAATATAAATGAATCATAAACACAATCATACAGTGGTCATACAGTGTACGCCCCATGTGTCATGCACACAGTGTCGCATGGCCCGATCGCCCGATCGCCTTGAGTTTGACTTGCATCAGCTTCTCCAGCTGCACGAAGGCGCGTTTCTTCTTCAAATTGTCCTAGGCTCGCTGGGGCCATGGCCGCCCTGCCCTGTCGTTTGGGGTTGAAACCCTTGGATTGTGGAAAACATATATTATACGTAATGTGATGTGTATATATATATAGAACATAAAAGACATTGTTCATGAGTTCGTCCATCTTTGTAAAGTCTTTAAAATCTGACAGCTTTGGGTGTTGAGAAACACTTGAAATTTGATGACCGTTGGAACTTGAAACCAGCTCACAAGGAAATGAAAAGTGAACTACAACGCCTCCCGCAAAACTGGTGAGACACAGAGCTGGACCCCTACGAGTTACAAATGGGGTCATCAGGGAACAATAAATTGAATGGCCCCCAAATATGCAATACTATTTCTCGGAGCCCAAAGTTGTCTGAATGCTAGTTTTCAATTGAGCACCTCTCTACATTTAGCATTTAGGAAAGGTTCTGCATCAAAATCTTGGCAATCCCAAAACAATCAGCAAGGGTGAAAAATGGAAAACTCTCAAATCGTTCATGGGGACGATATCCCTTGAAACAAGGCTTGGTTGGACATCGGCCAGCAGACCTCATGGCATTCCTTCACGCCCTTTTGATCTTTTCGCAGCTCCTCACAGCGATCAACGATCTTGAAAGATTCTGAAACACAGTAGTAACAGTAGTATAAATAATACGATGTATGACAAAGGTCTACACACAGATTTCTTGGTAGAGAAAAATATGTGTCACTAGTTTTGCAAGTCATTTGGTCTGTTTCTATTTGTCAATCTGCAACCACTGGCTGGAATGCATACTCTTCTAGGTTTGAGTCTGTGTATTTCATGCAGAGTATTTTACCATGCCAATTACACGGCAGAAACAAACAAAACGCGCACCACGCCCCTCTTCGTATCAGGCTGTGTCTGGTGGCAGCATTGCTGACAAACAATGTCAAGCCAAATGCAAAGATAAACATATCTAGAAGAAAACGCGGAGATCAAGGGCATAGAATCATTCAATCTTGTGGAAACCACAATATTTTACCACGGGATGATAATCACAAAACAATGGAAACTCCGCAGGTCCTTGCAGTGTTCGTCCAGCTTGCTGATTTCTGCTGCATAATGGTCCGACAAGGTCTGGAACTCCTGGAAGTGTGGCTCACTTCCGGTTTTGGGTGATCCACGTTGACTGAACTGCTCTGGAAATCTTCAAAATTCATTGAATAAGGATGAAACATGATGAAACATGATGAAACTATATAATCCTACAAGCCAAAGGCACTGCAACCAGCGTTATATGTGTGTGATCTGCTACGATTCTGGCAATGACATGTGAGGGACTTTGATGCAACTCGATTCCTGCACCTTCCTGGTGCTCTTGAATGTGTACCAATAATCGATGGGTAGTTGAATCACTCAATCAACGCTTGAACCCCATATTTACATGTGTGTATTGTGTGTGAAGACGCGTCACGAAACGTTTATTACAGCCGGTCCTCAGAATAGCGAGCACCCTCTTCCCTGCGAAGGCACCGCGTCTCCCAATGCGCTCTTTGGAGCTTACCTTGCGAGTGGATCGGTTTATTGCAAATCAAAATGAGACCCCTATACCTGATGCAGAATTGGTTTAACCAAATTAAGTATGCGCAATCCCTCTGAAGCTCCACATGATCAAACTGAAGCGCGGAAAGTGCCATGGCCATTACCACATGCTGAGAGAATGCCAGCATTAAAGTCAAACGTGGGTTGAGAAGTGACAGTGACAGGGTAGCTCCCAAATAATTAAGTACAATAGACCCTCGAAAAAGTGCTGTGCTTGCAAGTTTGGAAGTCGGCGTTATCCGCGAAATGAGAGATGAAGTTCATCGAAAGTGTTTCGGTCACAACGACCATTGATCTGTGTCGAATCTCAGCCACCGGCTTTCAGCATCTGTGAGCTGCATGTTGAGCTCATTGTAGGCCTGTTGGGGCAGCTCCGAAACCAAAGGAGTCCCCAATGGTGCATTGCTATTTGACGAAAATAAATTGGATGTCACAACAAATGGTTCTTATTTAACTTATATATTTATGTATCTAGCCAATCTAGCCACAAAAACATGTATATTGTGTCAAGAATGAATGGCTACTGTGACCATTCAAAAAACGACAGAAATATTGAGACTTTGGCAAAAATATGTTAGGATCTCAAATTTTGAACCACCAAAAACAATCATGATGCCTTCTGCAAACATGTCGTCGATGGAAGTCTAGTCTGTCTACTGCAGACAAAGGATTCTTTTCAATTCCCCAAGGTTCCCTTGGACACCCTGTATAAGTAAGGTTCCCTACTGACATGATGATCACAGCTGGAAACAAGATGTTTACCATGATCCTAGCGGCTGTAGAGCAAGAGATGTTCCAACCATGGTCACTTGTCACTAACCACTATGTGGGATTCTCGCTCAAGTAGGTTCCCAAGGGATTCCTACATTGTCGCATTCCCCCTCAACCTACAGTTCAAGATGTCTTTTACCAAACATGGTGGTGGTTGCATCCTACAGATCTTCATGTTTGTGGGTTGGCTTACCACTGAACATATGTTTTGAACACAAACGTCGTTTGTTTATTCCAAATAATTACTTCAAATAGTGACTCACACTGTAGACCTATTAGTAGTACAAATATGTTTGCAGTATGCGCATTATAAACATGATTTATTGGTGGTTGCCAATGCGCGCCTGTTCGGCTTCTTGGACCTCATCCTGCAGCTGCCTCACCTTGGAGTTTTGCCAATGGGGGAGTATGGAAATATCCAGCTTGTTCAGCCTACTATTCAATGGTATATCTTTATAGCTACACATATGATCGGATATCAATCTCATCTGCATATTGTCTATATACCATGATATACTACTGTATGATTATGGTTACTGTATATAAGTTGTATACTGTATATATAATATCATGATATGTCTAATATCTGTACGTACTTGTAGCAACTACGTTGATGCGAAAAGAAGGCAACAAACGTGCTGGATCGCCAGAGGCAAATCTTTTCTGGAATGGAACATGAAAACCAGTAAAAACATCCTGCTGATGGGGCAACCTCGACGGTCACAAGCCCGAGATGAAGAAATAAGCACAACAACTGCAGCAAAATCAACACCTGCGGGCCAAGAATCTCAATGTATTCTGAGCATTGAGGTGTTTGATGGTGTTTGACTATGTAAACCCGTGGATGTTAAGCATTGTAGCCCAATTGTGGCATTGAAAAGAGTTTTGCAAGGTGGCAGCAGTATTTTTTCATATTAAACTACTTTTCCTGCAGAATGATTGGTGCGAAGTGTCCTGAAACCGACCAATGTGAGGCGAGGGCATGGGCCCAAGTTTGATAGAGTAGTTGAGTCAGTTGAGTAGCTTGTCTCTTCTTGTCTGTTCTTGCTGCATCACAAGGGTTGGGCTTGCTAGCTTCTCTAACGCATCTTGAAATAAATGCTCATGGTTCCCAAACGCCGCATAACCAAAAAGAATGCAGTTTACCCTATCCGTACACATCGGATATAATCAGGGATGGCTGTAGATTGCACGGGCAAGTTGCAGCTTTTTCCCTGGCCGTCTCCCAGGAAGTGGTGAACAACCTCCACGACTCACGGCTCTGTGAAGGCTTCATAGGAATTGGTGGTTTGCACGGACCCAACTGTGAACCCTGCTTCGCGAGTCAGGAGCGTCTCTAATAGATTCTAGGAATGAAACGAGTGCAGTTCTTCTGCATTTCTTAGTAGGTGCACTAAAGGATCTCACTTCGTGTCCAAAATTGGAGCAGCCAACAAAAAAGCACAACCAAGATCAACCAAGTAGTTAAGTAGTGTTTTGATGTTTTTTGCTAGATATGTCATGTCACCAATGGTTTGAGGATGTTTGAGGCATGGACCCCCCCAATTTTGGGACACCTGCGGCTCGGATGGCCACTGCCGACTTTTGGGCCTCACGTTGCGCTGTTGGCAAACCTGATATGCGAACGGCGATGGAGATGGCCAAACGGCTAAATTGGCTAAATCCACGGGTTTAATCGTCACTTTTCCCCATGATCATAGCATATAAAATAGCCATAAAATAGCCATAAATGGGATCGAGATGGGAGTCCAGCACTATTTTTATGCACTTACTTCTGGATCCCCGAGATAAGCAGTCACCATTCACCCCAGCTCACAAGTAGGTTGATTCAAATACATCTAAGATCATCTAAGCATGTTGGATGATGTTGGCATGTTTGAGTACACTAATAATCATTAATATGCATTAATGAAATCTTGACTTTCTTGCGCTATCCGTGAAACACAAATTACTCTGGTGGGAGCACTTGCGCAGAGAGAAGCCCCAAGATGGAAACTTCAGTGACCCAAAAGTCTTTGGAAGTCTTTGGAAGATGAATTTCTCGAACTTCTACCTTCAAATATTTGATCTGCTAACTGCTAACATTGATCTCAAAATCGGCCTCTGTAGAATGATGACAGGCAAACACCTCAGCCCCTTGTCCCATCCCGTTCTGAACACAGCAGCTGCTCGTGGATTGTACCATCCGAGTCATCCAGCGAAAAATCGAAATCGTGGCCGTGCTGCACCAGCCTGGCGCAGTTGAGGTCACCTTCCCCAAGTCCGATCCATCTGGCCAATGGCTCATCTCATTTACCAAACTCATGATATGACAAAATATGACAATTATAACCTGAGATAACCAACCAAAATTCAATCCCGTCACCGGGCTGCAAGGTACCAAACAACCAAGGCAGCAACAATTCATGGTGTATGGTTTCTGGCTCCTTGAAACAAGCATTTCATGTCCATCCATAAATTACGGGAGCCAAAATGCACGTTTGGCGTTTCCAAATTCGAGTACTCCTTTGTCACCATTAGGTGTCCACTTCAAAATCAATAATTTGGGATGGTAACTTGGGTTTGTTTGGAGACCACGGTTTTTACTTACCATTTTTACCAGTGTTCACCATCAAATGGCCATTCTATGGGGATTCCCCCAGCGTCGGTCGCCAGGCAGCTGTTTCATCCAAGTGGTCAAGATGACGAGCTGCGTGTGCAGTTGCTCCACGCTGGGATCCTTAGGGCCGGTCACGTTGCGATGGTGGGGGGTATGGTCATGTATGGTCTCTATGTTTTGTTGTTGAGCCTTGTTTGTTGATGTCATTACCATCATGACCAGAAAGATCTAAACTGTGAGTCTAATCATATCACAAGTTTGACTTTCTTTTCGTCAACACAAGTTTTCACCCAGCACTTGGCATACCGTGGATGAACCAACTCCCGCTCCAGCTGAGGATGATCGCTCAGCTGATCCTGGTGAACTCAACTGTGGTGACTTTGGTGGGCAAATGTCTTAGTGACAAGACTTGTGCCGGTCCATTTTCGTGTTCCAAATTTGGTGAAACAACATATATAATGGACCTCCATGTTTCCTGCTGGAGCGACAGCATCTCACCAAGAGGCATCCACCAATTTGATGGTCTTACAGCAAGGGAGCCGGCCCGAACCATCCTGGACGATTGTTTCGGACCCCCTTAGATAATCCCCAAAATTGAAGCAGCGAAATTGGAGATGAACCGTTGACTCGTTGACCAACAAAAATGTGGATTTGACGCTACTGAGCACTTACTGACTACAGTCTATGACGGGGATATATATATATATAATGACAACAAGAGTGGTGCCTCTGGAGATTCGTATCAACTGGCTGCGGGTTGCATTTGTAATCATTTGTACTTTAGGAACATGACGATCCCCCCCTTTTTCCCAGGTACCCAACCCATGAATATCAATCTCGAAGGAATGCTTGAAGCCAAAACCCCAACTGACTCCAACCCCCTACTCTCTGGCATTCAAACCGAACACAATCTCCACGTTTACATCAGTTTATAGTAATCATTTACATAACTGTATATCTATAATTATCCATATTCTGTAGAGTTTACCATAGGACCAGTTAGGACCATAGAAAAAATGGCGGATTTTCGCCGGCGGCCTCATGTGCAGATCTCCACATCAACTCCATGATGGCTGTACGCTCCACCGTGGAATCTCCAATGGAGAGCCTTCGCTGTCAGGCGACATAGCAGGGGAACCCATGGGAGGAATGTGGAGAAATCTTTCCAGTCGAATGGAATGGAGAAGAGATTCAAAGAGATTAAATTTCAATGAACCCAGCCATTGTTGTGTGGAATTCCTTGTTACGCTGGAGCAAAGGATTCAAAAGACCTGGCTAGAAATCGAGCAGCTTTAGGTCTTTGGATCGACCTAGGCCAGAGTCTCACTGACCCTGAGAATATACTTGCCAGGTGTTCAACAAGATCAAGATGGTGTGGTCCCAAGAATATAGATAATAAATATATATATATACATATATATATATACATATATATATACACATATATATATATATACACCCTTGGGGGCGGGGGTTCCCCGAGGGGGGGAAGGGGTGGGGTGGGGTGGGGTGGGGTGTAATAACGTCCATGTAACTTGCGTGAAGGGGTGGGGTGGGGTGGAGTGGGGTGTAAAAACGTTCATGTAACTTGCGTAGAATTGGAGGCGACGTGCATGCTACGTGGATGTTACGGTCATTCTAAAGTCATGTTATGTACTTCTCAGGCATATGCCATGTTACGCTAGTGTAAGTTTTCTTGTAATTGTGACGTCTACGTCATGCTACGCTAGTGTAAGTTATCTTGTACTTGTCACGCATACGTCATGCTACGCTAGTGTAAGTTCTCTTGTACTTGTCATGCATGAGTCATGCGGGGGGAAGGGGTGGGCTGGGGTGGGGTGGGGTGTAATAACGTTCATGTAACTTGCGTGAAGAGGTGGGGTGTAAAAACGTTCATGTAACTTGCGTGAAGGGGTGGGGTGTAAACATCGCAACGTTCTAGCAGTGCACTATGTAAGCAAAAAGCCTGGTTTGGAAAGTGTCTTGAATGCACTCGCACGCTTCAAGGAGTTGGCAATGAAAAGTTGCCGGCAGCCTGGTTTGTGCCTTCTATAGTGGTTGATATGTCTTGTACTCATGCTTTTGTATAAAAACAGAAAAAACAGCTGACTCACAGCACTCGGAAATTTTGATGATATGCAAAATCACTGTGAATTACCAATGAAAACAACATCACATCAAAATACCTGTGGAAACACAGTATATTATACCCTTTTCCAATGATCTTTGATATAGCACAAAATGTGCACCTCGTAATTCCAATGGAGAAAATAAGAACACCAAAAAAAAACATATTGTGATGGTCCATAATTGACTTCAACTTCGACGGACGAAAAAAAAATGATCCGTAATTGAAAGACATTAACAATGAAAAGAACGACATGAAAAATCTCCATTTTACCACAGTGAAACACTGTTTTTTCTCCAATTCAATGATCCTGATTGACGTCCTCTCGGGGAACCTCCTCCCCCTGCCGTATATATATATATATATACATATAGATAATATAGAGGTTTCATGCCACTAGAAAAATTTCCTGAGACTGGATTCTTGGGCCCGATTCCACTGAGGTCATGTCAGGATGTCAGGACGGCGCAGCCAAGCGACACGTTCATCCACGGCGCCTCACGGCCGTAGAGCTTTCGGAGCACCTGCCAGGACCAATCGGGTTTCCCTTAGGTGCTCAGTTCAGGGTTCAGAAGCCAAATAAATTTAAGAAATAACTTCTGGTGATTTGCATTGAATAAAAGTTCATGAAAACTCATACAATGATATACAAAGCCTGAATATTACTGTTACCTGAATCCTAGCTTCAGGATGCTTCAGGCATCACCTTTACAAGCAGCCATTCTTAGTAGTCATACCTAGCAAAAAAATGCAAAAAATATGTCCCTGCCTTGGTCATCGCCGCCTGCTTGGCCAAGGTCCACAAGCATTCGCCTTCCTAGCGCAGAGCTCTGGAATGATTTGCCCACGTGGTTCAAAAATTCCACTTTTATATGCATATGCATATATACATACAGTACATATATATATATATGTATTACATTTACGTACATACATATATATATACACTATTATATACCGGGAACATGTAGGACCCATGTATTGTTAAACCCCACAAATTGGAGATGGTCAAACCCATTTGCCTTTTTTGATCTGAAATGCTGGTGTTTTTTGCTAGATTGCGGGCGGTATGTCCATTCTTCAGTATGATTTCCCACCAACACCACAAATCATTGACAGAAGCCAGCTGACTAAAAAAAAAACTTGACATGCTATTAGGTCACTAAGATTGTTCAGGTTCAAAACACATCCAAACCAAACCGATCAAACAAGTGCGGTGAATCCATGGGGTTCACCATGGTTCACCCATGCATCTTCCACGGTCGCTTCCGTCCTGAGTACCTTCCTGTATGACGTATCGCTTCAGGTATTGACGCGCATATATCACCGGGATATCCAACTCTTCCAGCAAACCTGGAAGGTCCTGGGAAACGGGAGCGATGACCCATGGGGGACCAATGTTGGGGATATGTTCATTTGGGTTTTTGGACAATAGCAATGTGAATCAGAGTCAAACCCCTTGCCAATGATTACGGTCAACTAAGAGCTCAACAGGAATTAAACAAGTTAATGTTAATCCAAGTTAACCCAAGTGTTCTCTTTCTACCCACCCAATCTCTTTTAGCCCCAGGTGGTTTGGACATCAGAAAACCAAACAAAGCTTGGACCCGAGAAGCTAATCCCGGCAGGTACTTGGCCGCCGAGTTAAGCACCCATGGATGCTGTGCCAATGTCACAATGGCCACTCGCCCGCAGACGCAGGCGCAGCGGAGGATGTCGGACACCTCGGGGTTTTCATGAGACAAATTGGAAGCAAAATGACAAAAGGATACAAAATTTGGCTGTTTGCATTCTGCAGGAGGGTTTTTTCCCTTCGGAATTGCTGAAGGCTATGTTCAAGGCTGGGCGTCCCCACGGCTTGCGCCTGACTGCTGAGACACTGAGCAAAAGGGCTATCCGCTGGAAGCTGGTCACCTGAGTCAACCATGCCCAAGCCGCTGCATACGCACAGATTCAGCCAACAATCCATGATATATGGCCAGCAATCATTGGATAATTTGAATGATTCAATGATCAAAAGTGATGCAACTGCATGCACCCGTATCAGGCCAGTGCCGTAAAAAAAATGTATCCAATTGTAATCAACATCTGCCAGCCGAAAAATCTTAAATCTCTCGGCCCGGAAGTGTTTGTGGGTGGCTCCAATTCTGAATCAAACTCTGGCATTAACTTGCTCGAACGTGACCAATCGAAAACATGTCAAAAGACACTTAAGATCAGTAAACTAAGACATGCAAAGCAAAACAGACTGACAAGAAAATCTCAGCAAAGCCCAGGCGCAATGAACATCTTCCAAGCAGGGGTTCACCACTTCAGTCACATACCTTGGATGTCGGACATTACAATCTCAGGGGACTCCACAGGACTGGTGGCCTTCAAAGAAATCTAAATCATGCTGTGTTCTGCTAGGATCATTACATAGCTGGTAAACTAACATTTTGCAATGGAAAATCACCATTTTTAATTGGAAAATCCACTATTTCTATGGCCATTTTCAATAGCTATGTAACAAATTACCAGAGGGTACATAGCTGGGTATCTATTTTTCCTAAGGAGCAAACCTTTGGATCACTGAAACCATTCAAAAAAGGGCACCTGTTGGAGACCCAAAACTTGGCCACGGGAAATGGTACCTTCTCTATCCTACCCTTACATCAAAAAAAACACTGCTTGAAATCATGGTACCATAATTCCCATACATTAATATTCCAATTCACAATGTAATTAAATAATATTAAATATACTGTAAATCATATAATTGATTCCAATGTATTCTAATATCAGAAAAGAATCTTGATGATAATAATCAACTATAAACCGCTATATATCGAAATAGTCCAATTAATAGTTGAATGATGGGCGCTCGTCATCCTGAGTTCACATGATATCAGTCACACATCGCATGCCGTAACGGTGCCAGGTTGGGAAGAGAGTATCGTCCCAGTCAAAAATGATGGCCGACTCCTGCAGGTTCCACAGATCAGCGAAGAAAAACATGTTTCAAAATGAGGGGATACGGGATACTGCAGATAGCTCAAAATAGCAATATTTATGGGGAAAATAATGATTAAGATTATCATTGATTAACCATATTGACCAAAGGCTACGTATTTCTCAACTCAGCTGACCATCACCAATAAATCTTCTTGTTTGGGCCTCCCTGCGGCCCTTTGCCACAGGAGACTGGGCTCCTCAGGGCTGAAGACGTTCTCGAAGAGCTCCGGGGAAGTGATGACTGCCTCCCTCGCAGCCGCAGCTTCACCTAGGCATCCCACTGGAATCCAACTCGGCCGAAGTGGCCACCAGCGGTCCCAATATGTCCCAATCTCCCCAGTGAAAACTGAGCTCAAAAATTGGCCCCACAGTGGCGCTCCAACTGTTCCTAGTATCCTGTATTCCAGTGCGAGGCAAGTCACGTTCCGCAACAAATTCCTAGGGTGGGAAAGGTTGACAACTTTGACAACTTTGACAACCATATGGCAATGCGATGAGGGGCAATCCAATGCAGGTCATTGCGTTGAACCGGCTTGACATTGGAGATGACTGAGATGACTTAAGCTCAACTTGAGATCCGATCCTCTCACTCTTTGGCAATGGGAAAATGAAAGTGTCAGCTCACAAAGATACCACTCATTTGCCAAAATTTGCTAGTAGTAGCCCTTGCGAGTTTGCTCATGCTCTGGTGCATGCCCTGGTGATTGTCACAGAGATCAGGAAGGTGTACAATTGTTTACTCCTACAGTACTTGGACATGGATCATTGACCTCACAATATCATGTCATGATTGACTCTCCAATTTTCGTTGCCCTGGATAGTTTTTGAAGTATCAAAACATCCAATTTGGAGGTTGACAAATTCTGACTACCCATAATCATAATATCTAACGCTCTAAGGATCTCTACCCACCAACCATTGGTTTCGATTTTGGTCCCCAGGGTTTCCCAAAAAACCGAGCTGCAAAGTTGTTGCTTCGCAGCCGCTCGGCCAACTCTGACAGGACCTGAAAATCGGGGGCTCAAAATTGGGGGACCTGGCAGGACCCACAATTTTCGGCCAGTGAATTCTTTGCTGATGAATCTGCTGTCCTGGAGGATTTAAGCCAGAAAATCATCCCCCTAAAAAATAGTGGAAGGGGGCCCCAATCCATGACTAGATCGAATACTGAATGCAGCGTCGTCATCCATGATTGTGTGCCTGGTCCCGCTGCCGGGCGCTCTTGCTCCGCCGCCGGCGGCGAAAGGGCAGCCCAAAGCCTGCGATGGTCACTCTTGGAACCCTAGTGATTTTGGTCGCTGATTGTGAGAATATATCCACATTTCATGGACTCATGGGAGTAGTATGGAGTAGTCACTAATGACAAATTCAATCTCATGACAAAATCATAAATTCCTTACCGTACCCCAAAAAAATAGCTGCCCCAGAATCAATTCGGCCATCACGACTTGCTTTCCGCCCATGAAGTCCTTGACACAGGTCCCTACAACTTGATACCCAGCATGCGGCAAAACCCGGCAGCACCTGGTTCAAAGCCAGACTCATCTTGTGATGGAAATAGTACCATCAACTCCTCAATTCGGATAGTCGTCCAGAGCAAGGATGGAAAGTAAAAAATGAAACCATCAGTTGGCCAACTGCTGCTTGAACATCAGCCAGGTTTCCATTTGCACCTCGAGGTGGCACTTCTGATGCTTGAAATAGCAAATGACACCTACACTTTACACTTGGGTTTCAAATCTAACTACAAACCCATGCAGATTGATTTAAAGGTGCAGAAGTTTACTACTCCCAGAACATCCGACTCCCAGAGCATCTGGAAGTTTCAAGACTGTGCCACCCATTAAACCATTCCGTGCTCGAACGTGAATCAAAAACTAAGGCATCTTCATCTTCAGCACGCACATCTCTCAAACACTGTCCAAAATCAGGCGCCATCCTCACATTTCATCATTTGAAACCACAAAATTCACGTCACAAATCTGTTCATGGTTAAATATTGTAACACATTTCACTATGATAACAATATGATAACTATGTCTCACTCCCCGTTGACAAACAATGTCCCCACGGCCTGCGCACTGTGACTCGGCAAGGTAATAGAGCGATGCGCCTCCTCGCCTCGAAGCGAATCCTCTATATCTACATCTGAAAACATCTATCATCTATACATGTCTATACATGTCTATACCGAGTATGTGTATCCCTCCATTAAAAAAAAAAAAAAACATCTATAGCTATAGTCACCATATCATGCTATCTTTATATATGTAACTGTATATATATATGTGTGTATATAATATATATATATATATATAGTCTATAGTGTGTGTATATATATAGTCTATAGTTTGCATGATTTTGCATGTATCAATGTGTCCATGTTAATCTCCAAGGCACCCAGCACCACCTCGTCGCCGCTGTCATCTTTGGGCAGCGGGTCGCGGAAGTCGCCCTTGGGTCAGATGGATTAAGGAGGCGCAGCATGGCGCAGCGGGTCGCAACAAGAATTGAGATTTAAGATGATTTTAAGATGATTTGGGTGTCTGAAAATATACCCCTAAACCCGGTTAATGATCATTATCCCTATTAAATGGCTATAATTGGGAATATACCCTATTTTCAGACAAACCCATTTAAGAATATTTAAGATGAATTATGCAACCAGCAATAATTGGATCTGACTCATGATTTGATTAATACAAATGTGGCGTTCACCAAAAAATCGGATCTCAGAAACTCGGGAGACTCAGAACGGTAGTTACTTCACTGCGTGGTTTGATGACGGTGAAAGTAAGGAGTGGAAGGGTGCAAATGTTGATAGAGATCTCTTGGATATTTCTAAGAGACTTCCCGCAAATTTTAGGGAAGTTCTCAGCTAATCATCATTAATCATCCCGAGATGAGGGAACTTCCACCGAGTAATTTGCAGCCCAGGAGTCCACTGGCATCGAATGGCTTCTTCCTGGCACATCATTGGGCGGTTGCAGGTGTGGCCCCGGCAGGTTCTGAATCGACGAAGCGTGCCTTAGTCACTAGAGAATTGTGTGGACAACTATGGATGACTATGGGCAACATTGGATATATAATTGGCTACGGCATGGATTTCATTCGATGACTCATCCAACTTACTGGGGTTGGCACCAAAAAAAAGATAAAAAAGTTCTGGAAATGGATTCAGTATGATTCAGTTATGCATTCCAGGCAGGATACGTCCAAAATCCAGTGTTGGTTTCTACTCAAGAAGGACTTGAAGCATGGATCACTTTGGGCTGCTCCAATCTTTAGAATTCGGTTGTCACCACATTGTCACCACACATGGGGGGAAGATGAACTGCAGCCACTGGGACCTGTATCCTGCTGCATCATCCATTGGTCACCTTCTTCCGCACCATGGCGTGTTGAGGTGCCACCAGTGGACTGTGGAGGGTTGGCTATCCATGTTCTCCCTCACTTATCCTCACTTGTAAATGTTGGGAGGAATGGCTGGGTAGTCCCTGCAAACCGCGAGACCCTGTCAATTTTTGTATGATGACACAGCCTGATAGTCACAATGAATAAGAGATGAAATGGTTGGGTTCTTGTTGTGCGAATCTGTCTCGAATGTTTTCTGTTTGGGGGGAATAAGTTATCACAAGAAACTAATGTCCAGAGTCCAAACATTTGGCGAGGTGGGCGATGAGCTCATTTGATGTTCTTCGCACATATTCCACTCTGACCTGCTACTGACAGCTACAGAAAGCCGACAACAAGTGTCCCGAGCTCCCAAGGAGCCATCCCCGACGTGCCTAGTTACAAGCCATGAGCAATCATCTATCATCTATTGTCCATCATCACCATCACCACCACCATCATCATCCTCATCCATCCTCATCCTACTTCCATCACTGTTGGCAATTTTATCCTTGCCAGGCCAAACCATTTGCTGCAACTCTATCAGACCTACCACCACTGCCAAGGGCCCTACATCTGTGGCAACCTTTGACATATCGGCATCCACGGTGGTCTTTGCCTGCACGATGACAGCAAGAGTTGTGTACACCGCTCCAAGGATATCCCACGATTGTTGACATGGTCTCCTGGTGTCCATGGCAATCAGCCAGCATCCAACCTGTCTTCCAAAAGCCTGCTGATGTATGAGTCAATGCCCCCTGACAAAGTACATCAAAATACCATTTTCAACTTAGACAACACCAGTAGTATAACTCTGCTTAAATCAAACAACCCATGCGCGTCAGCGAAATTTGTAGGGACCATCCAATCTTCACTCGGGGTGAGCACCTGTTGGGTGCCCATATTTCCCAGCCTGGTCGTAGTGGCCCTTCTTCTCCAGGTATTTTACCTGGCAGATTGTGAGTCCGGAGGATCCTCGGCATTCAAAGCTCCATGGGCCCCCATGGCTCTCAGTCTAAATAGCATTTCCGCCCGAAATCTCTCATCAATTAGAAAAGAATGTTGATGATTGTCTTCCGCACATTTGTGTATGAAATATATAATGTTTCGAAAAATACCGGAAGTACTGGTAGATGTTATATATTTGTATATATCATCTATACATCTTCTATGTGATGGAATTCGACATGTTCAGACCCGCTTATATGCAAAAATATGGACATATCATGTATATATATATACATATCTTCTAGAATCATCTAGAATCTAGAATATTCAAGGGACCAATCTGTAGTATCTTTCCCACCACCATCCAGCCCTTTGATCTCTGACTCGACCACCTCAACTTGCTGGAAGTTTTGCCGAATCGAGCGGAGCGCCTATGGCCATTTCATGCCACTTGCTGCAGGGAAGACGTGACAAACCCATCTCCAGAAGGGTTCGGAATTTTGAGACCAAGCCCAACTTTGGAGGATTCTTCTTCACCATCCAGGTCATCCGGGCATCAAAAAAGATCAAAAAAGATGGAAAAACACAGCAAAGGTCACCAACCTCGCCTTGATCTGCGGAGCTAATTTGTTCTTCTTCTCCTTCAGCTGCTGGTTGATCTTTTGGACAATGGCGGAAATTTCGTCCAAGGTCTTTCCCTTGGCTCTGTCTACCTGCTGGTTGGAGCGGTCTCTAGGGCGGTGGCTTCAATGTTCTTCAATAGGAAGGCTGAAATGAAGCATCTTGGTGGACGCATTGGGGTCTGCAACATGGAAAGGAGCAGCTACTTGCTGAAAAAGAATAAAAAAGAGACCAACAGCATCAACCAGCAAACTTATGGGACTTATGGCCATGGTTCGATAATCAAAATGTTGATTCTAAATGGGGCTTTGGGGAGAAGTTTAATTAAAGGCAGGTCCCCTGAGAAAGCCTATTTGCTTTGGAGGGAATCACGTCGCCCAATTTGGGCTGCCCACATGTAGTACCCCGCCCACGTTCTGATGAAACCGGTTGAGTACGTTCCAGAAAATGGATGAGAATAAAATAGATGCAGGGCACAATGGAACAAATATGGCAGAACCCAGCTCCACAATTTGATCGTCCAGTTCAGTAGGGAGGCCAACGGGTTGGGAGGTACCGTCAGCATCTGAACACATAGTTCTTTGTATTGTGGGAAAGCTGAAGCAGACTTTTCTTGTGGAAATCTACGGATAGAAATGGCCAATATGAAAATCTTTGAGTATCTTTAAGTTATCATCACAGAAATAGATGTCCATGCCATGATGGAAATCATCAAACCGTATCATGGAAATCCAATGAGCCCATGTCATGGGACCAACAGCCCAGCCTGCGACTTCTCGACCGAGGCCCTCTCCAGCATCTGTTCGGTTTCAACAAGCCTGGCTGGACGTTGAAACATGTGGAAAACTCAACTCTTGGAGGAAATAAAAGGCTGTATCTCAAGGCAAAGATAGCCACTTGTAAGTGGAGTTCGCTCACGTTGGATTGTTTGCCGGGGAACTGGCAGTGCAGCCATGTGTAGCCCTGAATTGGATGAAGAGTAGAGCTACGGCAACTACTGTAACTGCCACCTTACGACCACATGAATCCCGGGAATCTCACTGGAAGCATCAATTCCCAGTGGCCATCAGCTGTCGGCTGACGGCTCAACGCAGCACGGGTGGACCCTGCGGGAGTGGGATCTTTCTCTTTCAAACTCTGCTCGGTTTTTTCCAGTTCCTGACAGGCCCGGAAAGGCCCCAAAAAAACGGGTGGATTGCTCCGAAACAACCTAACCCTACTTCTGAAGGTGGGTGATTCAGCCCCCAGTTCTGGCCCTGCTGTTTGTGGAACTTAGTCTACTTCGTCTGTTGCGCCACTGTGAGTCTTCCAAACCAAATTTGACTGTCACTGTGAAGAGTCTTCGGGGGAGTGCCCCCTCTCAGCGCCAAATCTCAGGTCCGCACGGCCAGTTCTTGTCTCATCTCGCTCAACTCCGCCTGGACCGGACCACGGGGGGAGCTTCTCAGCAGAAGGCAGAGGTGGCTGGTTCTTCCATGTTCCAACTTTGGGACGTCTGCAAACAAAAGACTGGGCGGATCTGCTGAGTTTCAGGATCTCAAACCCTTGGAGACATTCTTCTTACCCCTAGAATTATAGGATGACATAGGCATACAGCCCCAATCTCTCGGGCGAACAGGGAGAATCGAAGCGTGTTTCCCCTACTCTTTCCACCGTTTCTATCAACTTGAGGACCCAAAATTATCTCCCAGTACTTGCTAGAGCTGCTAGATTCCAAGGCTTTAAGTTTAAGGGGTGACAACGTACTGTAACTCTGCACCTTCAAGCGCTTGAACTTGGCGGACTTGTCGCGAAGCGCGGCCGCATAGTTCTTGAAGTCATCTCGCTTCATGTATTTGTGGCCTACAATCGGCATCAAAGCCACCAAAACCAAACCTATCAAACCAATCGAACCAACCACATCGCTTGATCCTGGAGAAAGTCAACGCAAGCCGAAAATTGATGATGGTCATATTGTGGGGTTTAATCTAGCTTTAACTTCCAAAAAATGGGAGTAACTCCAGCAGTTTGCAGTGTGTTGGCAAGAGATAGGGACTACTGTTTTTTTGCAGCCGCAGCCACATAAATAGTTCCGCGTTAAAGGCTCTCGGTCACGCCTTTCATTTCTTCATACTCGCGCTCCTGGCCAGGTCATAAATAAGCTGTTCATCCATCACACATGATCAAATCTCCCTGGCACCCAACGTGGTGTGGATGGGTTGGAGCCGCATAAATTGGGTATCAGACTGCATGGCAAGAAAAAAAATAAAATTAACACCTGAATTTGCCATCCATGGAGAGATTTGTTCTGAATCGCACCAATGCACCAAGTAAAGCAACAGCCAAGCATCGTCGGTGCAAACATATTATGTTGGCGTACTTGCCTGCAGACCAGAACTATCTTACACACTTTTGATTGCTATGATATGACAAAGACCCTTGCCTGCAGACGTTGCCAAATTGCGAGCGGCACAAAATATAGAAAAATAGTTCTGCTATGACGGCGGTTGACTTGGCGTGGCACCTTGATAGAAAGGTCTTTGCTCAGACTATCTCGTTCATCTTCCAGTGTTTTCTTATCCTGGCACTCGGAACCCAGGGACCCAGCTGGCTGACAGAGGGTCCCCAACGTGCCAAAGGTTTCAGTGACAGGCTGCCGGTTTGTGATCACTCACAATGGCATGGTGCTTCTTTGCCACCCATGTGGGAAAAAAGGCAGGGGAAATGAAGACACAACAGTCAGTTCACACTACATGTACCTGCTGTACAGCATCCCCCATATCAAGCGTTGAGACTATGGTCTAGCAGCTACCTTGAAATCGTCAACGTGTACAGAGAATCTAAGAGTCTGAACAGCCTATTTAATACTATTACTACGTACAAAAAAGATGGAACTCGTAGAGTGTATATTATGTATGTATATATATACATATATATATATATGTACTATTATATATATAATTATATATATATATATCATTGACATTCCCAGCTTTGCTGGTGCACCCGTTGGGATTTGTCAATCCGAACATGGCACCTTCAACACCGCCTCCTTTTTCTTGGCCACCAGGTTCGCCTGCCACGGGGCCGCCCGAGAGGTGGAAGCGATGGGGTATTTAACAGTCAACCAGAAACAAGCACGTGGCAACCACAACATCAAACAAAACATGAAGGTTATCAACTCCAAGATCAATTCCGTCAATCGCAATATTGAATTTGGGAGACCAAGAATCACAACATCTTCAACTGGCTGGGGTTTTGACCCCCTTATATATCTTATATTTGCGCCTGCTGATTTGGAAACATCTTCAATGTGGGGAAGAAAAAACAATTACAGCATTCCAATGTTCAAAATCATGATCCAATAGTCATGTCCAAGAATTTCCGGCCGAAAAATGTTGAAAAGCAACGCCAAATGAACATGTTGCATCATGTTGCCCAATCTTGTGACAGCAGGGTAGGTCAAGTGTCAAGTACCGTATGGGAAATCGCTGGCCCGCCTGCTGCTTGTAGACTGCCAAGCGAGAATCCTGGTTCGATGGGAGCAGGTCGTTGCTTTCGTTTGCTCATCAACAGGCGATCCAGTTTTCTTCTGACAGTTCCTGCGAAGGGTTCCTTCCAAAGAGCGGTTGCCAATAGACATGTTCAACATAATCACCATTATAATCGTTATTATAATCGTTATTATCATCTTTATTATAATCTTTAATTATCATGTTGTCGTCTTCTTCTTCTTCTTGTTCATCATCCTCGTCATCATCCTCGTCATCATCCTCATCCTCATCCTCATCCTCATCATCATCATCATAATCATCATCATCATGCCCATCATCCATCATCCATCATCCACATCCACATCCACATCCATCATCCATCATCATCATCTTCATCTTCAACATCATCATCAGCAACATCTTCGTCATCTACGCTATCATCAACTTTATAATCTATAGTACATTGTTATGTGTGTCCGACAGTGTGTCCTGTATATTATACATGTACAACTGTATGTATGCGCGTCTGTGAAGGTACAAGTGTTCAGGTGTAGGTGAAAACATCTACGAATCTACAGCTCTACAACTGTATATATATATATATGCAGGTGTACGGATGCAAGTGTATATGTGCAGGTGAAAGCACCTACACATCTACAACTGTATATATGATTATATGCAGGTTTGTAAATGATCTTCTAAATACACTGTACCCTTTGGCGGCAGCACAGTGCCGATCAATGCCTAACAAACCCACCCCTTATCGTACAAACCGTGCGTGGATCGTCAAAAACTGATGCGAAATTGCGATTTGGTTTGGGCTCCGTCAGCCCAACCCATACGATGTGGTTTGGACTCGGTGAACCCTTGCCGCACGAAACGCACGTCGATGATCAAAAACTGTAATAGAAAAACCAATTGCCATTTTTTTTGCGCAAAACGTGTTCTCAGTGAACCCTAAAATTAAAGGACCGGAAAACCCCAAATATCACCTTCTTCCAATAAGTACCGAAGAGGTGTGACAATGTTGTGTGTCTGTGTGCGTGGGTGACAAAGTTTATATACAATGTTGTGTGTGGAAGAGTTGTGTGAAAGAATTGTGGAAGAGTTGTGTGTGTGTGAAAATGTTGCATGTGAAAAAGATTGGTGGCGGAGACACCTCTTCGGTGCTTGTTGGAAGAAGTTGACATGTGGGGTTATCTTTTAATTTGTGATAGAGTTGTGAGCCCCGCCCCGAATGCCCCGCACGGCACCGCCCTACACCACCCCACACCACGCCACCAACCGTGCATGCATGCTACATACATCCATCCATACACCCATATTCATGCAGGCATTGCATTGCATCGCGTTGCATGACACACAATTACATAACATTACATGACATTACATAACATTACATAACATTATAAATTATATAACATTGCACAACATTACATTACATTACATTACATTGCATTGCATTGCATTGCATTACATTACATTACATTACATTATATATCATTATATTGCATTGCATCGCAACTGTATACTGTATACATACAAAAATAACAAATCATCATTTGTCATCAGCATCAGTATCAGAATCCTGACCTCATCTTTGAAAGAAACCCATCGCGTCTGTAACTTGTGATTCAAGCACAATTTCCAAGTTAGTCTTTCTGGAGGGTACGGCATCTAGTTTTGACCGACTGTCTCGACCTGATTCTGCTCATTGATCTTTTCGGTGTGCGCATGGATCTCATTCTGCATCGCTTGGATCTCGTTCTGCGGGGTGCCAAGGGTGCGAATCGAATCACGCTTTGGGAAGGGGACAGCAATCGGGAGCCTCCTAAGGGATCGGAGTGCCACTGCACTGTATTTCATATATAGGCTGCGGACAACATCAGAAAACCCACTATATAGATCTACATATTGATATTATAGAGTCCCAAACTATGTGCTCTCTCTGCCTTTGTCTTTTAGCCATGATGATTCGTTCAACTTCCCAAAAAAAAACGGGAATTGTTTTTTGGAAGCGTAATCAATGTACCGGATTGTTGACCCCGGAAAACCTGCACACAGACCTTGAAGACCTCAAAATAGTCCGTGGTGAAAAATGGCCATGAAGGATCAAAGAGACAGTCGCAACAAGTCACAACAAGTCAAAGGCCGAGGATGGCCGACCGCACCTCGAGGTTGTCAATGTCAACTTGCCTCACCTGAGAGGTGCACAAGTTTGATGGCGACAAGTGCGCCGGATTAGGTGCCATGCCTCAAATTGTCTGGTCAAATCTGCGCGACTGGCACTTTCATTTTCTGTTTTCCCTAGTCTTCAGGCAAATTGTATGAATCCTTCATCTTCTTCTTCTCCTTCTTCATCACGGAATACCAGCCAAAGCCCACGGAACTCGCTGAGCAGGGCCACCGGAGGTTCGCTCAAAGCGCTGTCCATGTCTCTGAGCTGCTCCATCTTCTCTTCTCCTTCCTTTCCTCACGGCGAAAATCCCCAGTGGGGCGTTTTGAGTCAGGCACTGATGAGGATCAGCAAAGCTGCAGGAAATCGAGTCATAGCCAGAGGTTTTTTCTCAATCTTCTAGCAACAAACGACTGGTGACATGGAAAAAACGACTGGTGACGTGGTGTTCTGGGTTGCCCCACGGACACGTTGCAGCGCTTCTCTGCTTTTGATGACCTGCGGAACAAGGATGGTGAAGCCAAGCAGCATGAAAAAGGAACAGCTGAAACCGCCTAGGCACAGCTACCAGTTTTTGAAACCAACCATGCATATATGTATCATGTTACTGCGTATGTATACAATACATGTGTATATATATATATATGTATATATATATATATATACAAACTATATCCAGCCCTATACCAATAGAGAATCTCTTTCAATCTCCGTCGAAGCCGAGCTGGTTGCACCTCAGTGCTGAGGACCTTGAACATGGCTTCAGCACTTCCTTCACCCTCCTGCATCTGCGCCTCACAGGAGATCTATGAAAAAGTTGGGGACCCCCAAGCAATAAAATTGAACACAATTCAGCAAAATTCATCAAAATTCAACAAACATTACAAAGGTTGAGTTTGAAAAGTTGAGAACCTTTCATGGCTTTAAGGGGCCAAACATCTTGAGAGTGGAGATTCAATGATGGGATCACCAGAATTTAGCATGTTGCATGGTATAAATGAGTAGTATATCCGTAAGACAATACTTCAATACCATCAGTCAGTCCCGCAACTGTGAGCCTCACAACGCAGGTTTCCCATGTCCCCCTGTGATCCGGCCCAAACCTCCCGCATCTCTCGCAGGCGCGCAGCACGTTCAATGTACAGCTGCTCCTGGGGAGCCCATCATGAGCTTCCTTTTGACTCGCACCATGATCTAAGCAGAGGGCCATACCCAGGCCGCAGGCCCATTGAATTCAAACCCTACCATTCATCTTCCAAACCAGCTGCACCCGCCCCAGGTTGCGGTCCGTCTGCTCTAACCTCAGCCCGAAAGTGGAAATGTCACTTGCCGAGGACATGGCCAGTGGAAAGGCACGAATCCATGTTGAAAATGTTTGAAATGGGGCAGCAACAAAACTGCATCCAAGATGACAACCAGCAGGAAGACCCGTATGTTTCTGGAATACTAGTTCCGGACTGGTCAGTACTGTGTATATGACTCCCAGATTCATATATATATAGATTCCATGAGGTTCCTTCTTGGGTCCTTCACCAAAGTACAATCAGCAGAAGGCGAACGCAAACGATTGGTGAATGGAGGGATATCTATCATGGACAATTTGGCCGTGTCCTTTTGAACACCAATCCTCACCTCATGGTCTATCCTGGTGGGAAGTCTTGCCCGCGGCTGCCGTACAGCGGCTTCAATGCAAAGACCGTGACAGGCCAAACAACTTTCTTGGATGATGAAAACATGTGATGTTTGATCCTAAGGACCTTTAGACTTAAAGAATCTTAAAGATATTTTCATAGAAAATACATGAAAATACAGTTGAATCATCCCACCAAGCTGTCAATCCTGAGCTTCAGACTGGTACTTCTGCTCTTGCAACTTCTCAGCCAAACGTGCTTCCTCCTCCTGCTCTTTCCTCAACATTGACGTCACCTGAGCTGTCCGGACTGGAACCAAAGGAGATGAACACCTCCCTGAAATTTTGGCCAACCCCAACAATCGACAGTTGACAGGTTGCGAGCCCCCCGTTTGTTGTCATCGCTTCTGCTGTCATGCGGCCATCTTTGATCAATCCCTTCGTGTTCCCGCCGTCTCCAGCCGAGCCGAGCGCCTGAAGAAGTTGAGCGAAACCTTCATCTCGCTCGGTCTTTGCCTCCGGGCGAAAAATGTGAAAGAAACCAAGATTGGCATCCCAATTTTCGGAAAAAATGCTGTCAGAGTTGGCTTAGCGTCTTTTGTGTGATAAGTATTGATAAGTCATGAATGGATTTGTGTTGTAAGAATATGCGAACTGTTTGGGTGAACCAGAACTAAGTCAATAAATCCATCATCAAACTCCCAGCAGCATCCCAAATAGCAACTTCTCATCGCCTTTTCCACCATCTCTCATGTTCTTGGGCCCCCAAAGTACAAACGATGGCAAGCACCAGGTGTTCCCAAATGTGGGCTTAACCAGTAGCTGGGTATGGAACAAAATATGCTCTAACAGTAAAAGCATAGCACAAGGCACCACAGGGTCTGGTCATTTCTGTGTAATCAAGCCAGTTTTGGCAGATACCCAAGTTTCACTCATGCCCGGCCCAACCCATCTTTGTTTGCTATATAGACTATAATAGACATTAGATACTAGATATTTAGATACTAGATACCAGGTATTAAATTATTAGATGTTGGACGGTAGATATTGAACAAGAATGTGTGTATATTTATATGCAATTATATACACGTATATCTCTATAATTATATCAGACAGCCGGGTATATATATAATATAATATACGTATATAGCCGTAAATATTATATATAATTATATATGTACACGTATATAGCGTGTATACATATATATATATATATTCTACTATGATACTATTATTATTATTATTGTTATTATTATTATTGTTATTATTATTATATATACGTATAATATATATATACACGTATATATACATATTGCTAACCTCCTGCATCCTCCTGCTACTATTGGGCAAGATCTGCCGGTTGTGCCACCCTTTGGTCCCACCTTCAGGAGCTGAATCTTCTGCGCCAGCTGCTCTCGTTCGGCGTCCAGCTGTTGCACCTTTCCAGGTGGTGACCCCGATGATTCATAACAGTAACTGTTGAACCATGAAACATCAATGATCCATCAATGATCCATCAATGATCTATCAAAATTGATGAGAAAACATGAAAACCACGACATGAATGCTGAGATGGCAATTTGATGCAATTTGTGACCAATTCACGTTTGCGCAGGTCATGAACCACCTTAACAATACAGGAGGTTCAGTAACCAATTAAGAAAGTGATGCTCAGTGACACTTGTTGGCTGTGCAGCCCATTGGGTGTGATAACTTTTCCTGAAATCTCCCCGGGGTAGTCAAACCACTATCTGTACTTTTGAGCAAACTTTGAACAAGAAAGAAGCAAAAGAGAGCACTCAGCACTCCGGTGTCAGGGACAGTGTCTATACGTATACCGACAGTGCTCAATCACTGTTGAACAAATCACAGTAGTGAAATCCACTCCCATGATTGCTCCAAGTGAGAAGTTGAGCATGGCAAAGTCGGTCATCGTAGATCAGTTTGCAAGGACTTTGGTGGCTGTTCCTTCCTAACAATGCGCGGATTTTCTTCCTCCCACGCGAAGAAAGTAAATGGCCACATTTCACCATCAGTAGCGATGTACGACCAGAATGGCTGAAAATGGAGATGGATTTGGTTTGATTTCTGATATTTCTGGCTTTTTTTGTGTGTACTTCCAACAAGTCGCATGAAACCCCAAAATGGATAAGAATGGCCCCTTCAGGGCTCAAGAGGTACCAACTCGGTACCAACCATGTACCAACTAAGTCTCAAGAGGTCCACGTGTGCCGAGCTCTGGCATGGGCCTCCCGTTGCAAGTCCGCGGGATTCATCCGACCGTGGCGCTCCTGGTGAGGCCATCAGGTGGGCCATCAGGTGGGAAAAGAACCTGAGAACCTGAGAACAATATATATACATATATATACACCAACAATATATATATATATTGAACATATATATATATTGAACAAATTTGAACAATGGCATTCTACTTGAGCTCATCTCCTACTTGATCAGCCACATTCTTGAAACATTGCTGAGTGAACCTGCTGTCACTTGTCAATCCCTTTCAAGACATGTTGATATTTGAAGACCACCCAAAATCATCCAAAATCAACACAATGTATCACCAAATGCCAAATTTCACAGGCCCCCATATCTTTCGACCCTTGAAATTCTCCGGTCCATGTCCTGCTCCACGTGAGAATGGTGCGCCTTGAACTGCGCCTGCAGCTCCTGTGACGCCAATTCAACACATCCGGGATCCATTGGGTATCGAAGCCCACTCTTTTGGGGGATGTCGTGCGGAAGTTCCCACTTTCTTTGGGTGTTGAACCTATTTGAACCTCATCACCGTATCACCCGGGTTTTTCTGACCCAATCAGTAGAACTTACCACAACATCCCATAGCGAGCACCGCGCGCCTTGTAGTTCTGGTACACCGAGGCGACCTGCTCTTCACGCAGAAACTCCTCTGGCACCTGAAGCTCTGGGCAGCAAAACGCTTGGCCAGTCGATGAAACAAACATAAGTCTACTCAAAATTGCCCTACTAATTGTAGACTAAATGTTGCGTATCTATCAGTTTGCTTCTACTTTAGTCTACAGTATCTAATTCTGGCTGATTCTATCTGAGTCGACCAAACTACCTAGTGCTACCTGTCCATCTAGCTGAACGTCTAGAATCTAGAACATATAACATATCAAGCCACCCATCTTTTCTCATAACTTACCCATCCGAAGTGAAAACTCATTAGTTCAGCCGAGTTCATGGTTTTGGTCAAGTTTGATTCACCTCACTGACCCCCAGGAGTTGCACCTCCAAGTTCATGCAGAATTTGGCCAGGTACGCACGTTTTCCTTGGTCGGAAGGCCGTCGGAAAGTTAGGTCGCACTCGGAAATGTCCGGTTGATCTGGTGAGAGACTGAAGATATTCATGAGAAACAACCTCTGACTCAATTGGTCATGGAGGTCTACAGCCCTTTCAGCCACTGCCGTTCTTGACAGCACAAGAGGACCACAGCGATAAGCCAAGTCGCTTAGAGCTTCCAGATTGCTCAGCAACCAGTACAAAATGGGATGGATGGTGTTCTTGTCACCTGCCACCACACAGGTGCGGGTTGAAAATTGGAGAGACAAAGAGAATGCGTTGGTCATATTTGAAACTGGCATATGCCCACTGGACCGTCAGGACGTATCTTGTGACTGGTCAGCCCCATTGGAAATGTTCCATGCAAAACAGAAACGGCCAATACCACAGCAGTCCAAAATCCACAAAGACCTGCAGTGTCACTGTGGCTCAAACTTCCCTGACGTAAGTCTGTGACGAAAAACTGAACCCGAAACAACCCGAAACAAGTGCCCTGGATCCGGGCATCTCATCTCGGCACCAGTCGTTTGCCTGACATTAGACCATTCTGGAACTCGATGTCAAAGGAACACCTCAGTGCCAGATGGGTCCCGACAAGGATGGACAGAATTCAGCGATTTCACTGCAAGAGCAAATTGAACAGGAAGAAATGCTGGAAAAACAAGGTACACATATATATATATATATACGTAGTGCTAGACAAAGCTATGGCCACCAAAACAGTGACATCGCCCGAATTGTACAGCTGGCTGCCAGACTGATACCCCAGGATGTGCAGAAACTCTGAGATGCGTTGGTACATGGCATCTGGCTTCTCCTGTGCGATTTTCCAAGCTCTGCAGGATAGTGTGAATGTGTTTGGTGGCATCTGTGTGCAAACCATGGCTGGGGTGTTGTCTCTGTACACTAAGGTGGCTGTGCTATTGAGGCGTTCCAGAAATGCCTCTGCAACTACAACAGCCTAACTAGAAGATAGTGCAGGATTACCCATAACATGCTCTTGGGGATAGGGAATCACCCGCACCTGGGGAGCAATCAACTCTTAAATACTCTTAAACTTAATGGTTGGCAAGGGCGCCATCTAGTAACCCGCCGAACCCAAGGATTTGAATCCATTTCAAGCCATTTCATGCCGTTTACAAAGAGCATTGTGGCATTGCCTTAAAAAATGGTCCATAAAGAGCATTGCCGTTTTCAATCGCACATATTTTCCTCACACCTTTACTCCTGTCCACCCATGGGCCTCTCTCAGCTCGACATCATGCTTTGGGTCCAAGAAAGTCAGGACCTCTGGGGCAGGTGATGATTGCGGGGAAGCTCCTCTGAACAAACCTAATGCGCCACTTGTATCTACTTGTCATATGCTATTCTCATACACACATACATTGCCAATTTCTATTCGTTAGAGGTCCACATTGGTTGGCAGCTATACTTCCTCTTGGTGATTTCTCCATCAACTGTGTTGCTTCAAACACGGATATTGATAGTGGAGACTGCCAGTTGGTTCGAAGCTGCCATGCTCGCCCGCTGCTTGGTCACCGTACCTTTTTGAGGATCTCCATCAGCTCTAATGGATCCTGCAGCGGAAAACACCTCCGCGTAACACCAGCTCCACGCTCTGCCATCATGCCATCAGAGCCTTTTTGCATCCCAATCAACCCAATCATCCCAATCATCCCAATCATCCGACATATTCCGTACTGCCCACACTTCCCTTCTCCTTCTCATCGAAGACCAAGAGGGAAAGGTCCAAGTTGAACGGCTCAGCATTGAGCCGATCTACGATCTCCTTCAGTTGAGCTGCCATGACCTGCTGGCTGCGGAAGAGGCGTGCGGCGTGCGGGGGATGGCTGAAACACATTTTTGGATGGCGTGGGCGAGAAATGATCACTTAGGACTCCTAGGACTCCAATATTAACATGTCATTGACTACAGTACTACTTGTCTCACAGAAATTGTTGGGAAGCACTTTCGGAAGCACCAAGAAGTTGTGTTCAATGACTCCTCTGTCGTCTTCAAACAAGAAGAATTGGCTGATAACCACTTGGTAAAGATTGTAGCTTCCCGGGCCCGGTTTTACTTGAAATTTTGGAGTGAATGCGACCTGCCCCACTGAAAATTCTGAAAATGGCCCTAGTGCCATTTGAGATCATGTTCTAACGTTTCTCGTTCAACCTTCATGCCATTCGCATCCATTTGCCAACTGTCCAAGGACACAACCTTAAGGCTCCGGTTCAAGACCTAGCGGAGCGCCGCACACCGCCACACAGGCTGCCAGCAGCCTACAGGGACAGTGAAGTTTGGATCTGGAACCCCATCGAACTTCTGCCAAAGAAAGTCTCACCAGGGGTGGTGAACTGTTCCCCGACCATCTGAATATTTAGAATCCTCCAGGCAAGACATTTACCAAATAAAAAATTGAATAGATTGAACAACTTGATATAACAACAAAAATGCAGTCAGATCTTCGAACAGGAAATGGGATTTGTGATAGTTGATATCATTTCCTGGATTGGACGCGAGCACATGCATTAGGAGCTCGACAGTTCCAAATGGAGATCAAAATTTCGACCCCAAAAAGGATAGTTCCAGAGCCTGATTCCGACCCCTACGTAGAAGGAGGAATTCAGCATATTTTTCACCAGGGTTGGAACAATCCAAGGAGTTTTGTTGCAAGCAAACCTTACTTGTTTGTTGCTTGGTTGGAGTTTCATCACTGTTGCTTTACGTACGGTAGTTGACAGCTTGTGTTGTATTCGTGGATTCTCAAGGATTGTTAGTGAGACCTACAATGTTTTGTTTCCACATGCCATTTAAAACAACAAGCAGCGTCGCGGAAGTATCGCCATGAGAAATGCAATCGGCACAACACATACACTTACACCCTCACGTTGCATCACATTGCATCACGTTGCATGATTTTCTGTGCAACCAATTGGTGCCTCCAAAAAATATGCAAGCACGCGGATCCAAAAAACGTTGGTGCAACCCACAGAAACAACACCAACCAGTCAAACAAGTTCGTGTTTTCATGAGTGCGCATGCTTTTGCACGATTTTGCACTAGTGTTTGAATCATTCAATGATCAATCCAAATTCTTGCATCTCAAATTCAAATCAATTCGGGATGTTTGCCCTTCTGTTTGCCCTTCCCAACCATCATATGCATCACTTAATGTATGTCATGTATGGTGTGTCTATCTGGGTGCATTGATAGTCACCAGATGATCAACAACGACCCCTGGCCTCCGCGGAGCACAGCAATGGCGGCGCCGGAGCGCGAGGCGCTTAAACGCTGCAGTGCGATGGGTCGGGAAAGAGTTGGAATACCAAACATGTCAGCACAATAAAGCACTACGACAACAACCAATGGTTCCGAAAATGGAGGTACGAATTTCAGCACGCACAATATGTGGTTTTCCAGGATTTCAGAATGGACGTTCGGCAGCCGCTCCAAATGGCCGCCATATGACACTTCACTGACACGAACAGCTTTGTGGCATCCAGCAGAGTCTAACATAATTCTAAGCACAAAGACGACTCCTTGCTTGAGATGAAATGTGCGTGATATGCCCCAGCCAACCCAGAATTCAAGTTGGGATTCCCACAAGATCTAGACTAGAAAAGCTCGGTGACAGACATTTTCTTCGCCCTTCTTCTCATTCTCAGATGGACATGGCGACAGTTCCTCAACTAGGTCTGAATCAAGTCCACGTATCCTGCGTGACTGAAATATCAAGGAAATATCAAGTTTCTAAAACCAGATCCAACCCCTCCAGGGTTTCCAGGTGAAGCTGGCTTCAAAGAGAAGGTCGATTACGGTCAATCCGATAAAGTGAAGAAAAAGGTAACGTCATGTGATCACCACAAGCTCAGTGCATCGTAGTGCTGGCCACGGCCTTAGGCCGGGAATCTGAGCGATGATGGCTTACATTTGGAAAAAGACCACCAGGAGGATCGCTGATGCGAAACTGGCGGCTGCTGCGTGGGAGTGTCCCTCCATATCTCCTGTTGTAGTTGTAGTGGTGACGCCCGATTCGCTTATGGCAAGGTCAACCGCCACAACATCCTGGAGAGAGTTGATGCCACGCAATTAGACTAGGTCGTGTCATGTGTAAAGAGGGAATGTGTATACTGTATACTGTATATAAATGTGACTATATGTATACACTTGTGTGCTCTTATATACATAATATATATATATATTATATTATATTATATTATAATAATATTATTATAATATTATAATATTATTATTATTATAATATCATATGATGTTGTATTGCAAATACAACATATGTATATATATATATATACTGTGAACAATTTGATCCTTGTCCTGGCTTATCCCTTTTGATGGTAGTACCGGTTGTGCTGGTAGTGCAGGGCTATGTCACTGCATGGCGTTCGGAGAACGGTCTTTTTCCTCGCGCATGACTTGAGCCAAGTGATTGGCAGTCCATGCATAACTGTCTACATGCTCAGCATGTGCAATGGTTGTATTACCTAGTTCCCTTTCGCGCCCCCCATGCCTACGTCATCTTCGAAACGTAGGCACGAGAGTGGGAACTTTGAATTAAACCCTTCTGCTGCTCGAATTACGCCTATGTACATAAAACATGCCATTCGGCTCCCCCTTCCCCACATACCCGTCGGGAATAATGGTTCAGGGTTCGCCTACTCTTTGGCTGTCGATGCATCGGCGCTTCATCAAGCTGTACAACGCGAATTATTGCTAGCTAACATCTACTTTTCTACGTTGGCTAAGCATGCCACTCACCCGTCGGGAGAAATGGATCACCTCGCTACCAAAGATTTACAATGCTAACTAACGAATTCACGTGCACAATGCAGGATTTCGTGCAGATTGGGAATATCAAAAGTCATGAACCTAAGTGAATTAGTCTAATGCCTCGCTCAGAGTCCACTCAGTTGGTCTTTTCCTGATCATCTGTTCATAAAGACGATAAACATCTTATAGTCCAGTGACCATTTTGATGGACAGAGGTAATGGGTTTACTGCTCACAGCGGACTTTCTTCCATTGAGGTGTTGTTGGAGTTTTCTCCCATCCTGCCGCACGTTTCGGAGCAGCTTTCGGCGATGAGGGCTTCGCAGGCGGTGCCTTTGATGGTTCATGGGATTTCGGCATAGCCTTAGCCTTTGGTGCGCTAGCCGATGAGGATGATGCTGAACCAGTGCCTTCAGGTTTCTGTGAAGGTTGTGCGGATGACTTGGCAAACTTGGAAGCTGCAGTATGTCCAACCGCTTTGAATACTTCACTCACCACTTCGTCGCCAAGGGTTGGAGCCATCTTCGTTTTCATCTCGGTCTTTCCCCTCTGCGCCTCGGCCTCAGCCAGTTGAATAGCATAAGCCATCTTGCTGACAAAGTTTTGAGGTAAAGGAATGCCACATTGTTGGGCGGCAAAGAGCAGTTCCACTCTCTGTTCTTTCTCCCTCAGACTCAGGTATACCGAGAAAGCTGGGAGTTCGATGCAGTTGGGGAAGCCGTGGCTCCCGGAGCGAAAGAAGGTGTATGACTCGTGCTCTGGAAAGGTTCCTTTGAGCAGTCGTCGAAGAAAATTGCTGATGGTCACTCGCATCTCCTGCTTCCCTGGGGCATCAGCCTGCATTCGGTTCATTGGCATGAGGAAGCCTAATGACTCTGGAGTGTACCCGGCGCGTACCAGAAATTCCATCATCTTCTCATAGATCTCTAAAGTCTTGATGACAGGCATCATCATATTTCTTGGTCGTCCTGAGTACAACTTCTCTCCTTCTGACCATGAGTTCCTCTTCCCTTTCTCCTGAAAGAGTTCGTCCAACTCCAGCTCCGTCGGTCGCTTGAGGTTGCCATCCTGGTCTTCTCCTGTGTAGGGGCAGAAGTCGTCCAGGTCCAGCCGGACTCGCTTGGTTTCCGTCATCATCTCATGGTACTCCTCTGGGGTCATAGTGACTCTCTGTTTATAGTTAAAACCTGAACATTGTGATGACCTTTGACATGACTGCATTGTCATACAAGTGAGCCGCGGCCTCGGAGACATCATTGTTGATAAGTCCGTCTTCTGGCATACCCTTGCTGCCGCTCTCGAGATTCTTAGTCCATGCTGGAAGTTTGGAAGAAGGTTCATCTTCAGGTTCGACGTCCATTTCATCGTCGTCTTCTTCAACGATTTCGTCGTCTTCCTGTTGAGCTTCCTCCTCCTGATCCATTTCCTCATCATCGCCTTCATTGTAGTCAACCTCGTCAGGATTGAAACCATAGTCGTTGGATTCGGATACGTTTTCTTGAGCTTGATGGACCGTATCCTTGAACAATGATTCTTCCTGTCGACGAACTTCTTCATCGATTTCTTTCTTCGTGGCCTCATCTTCATCGTCTTCAGGAGCTTGTAGCCGATATGGACGAATTCCACAACTTTCAAGTTCCGTCCAGCAAACTAGACACACTGCTAGCTTTGTCGGCGTCTCGTTGAGACAGTGAGGGCAATGGCGGCAACCTGAAGTTTGCACCCTTTTGCGTTCGACTATGTAGTCAATCAGCTTGATGCGGGCCAGGTATTGCTCTTGTCCGCCAGGCTCGATGAGGTTGTTCTTGAATTGGTTGACGATGTTCATGGCATCCATGGCGGTTTCGTCAAACGGTTGGTCTTCGGCGTCGATGCACTGACTTGCAACTCTCAAGATGGACTCCTTGGTGGCTACCGTTCTTGATTTGATAGTTCCAGACCGGACTACTTGGTCGTCGCCCGACGGGACGAACAACCGGAGCCATGTCTTATTGTTTTGGTCCTTGGGGTCCTGAAT